GAAAAATAGTTTTCCGTCTTAATCCATTGCTCTCTCCCTCGTGTACAGGAAATCAAGTTCCCTTTCTGTTAGAACAGCAGAGTAGAGGGGGTGATGGAAGCCCCAGCTCCCCAAATGGACCCATTTTCTTGGAGAACCTCAACTGGGCTCTTGAGGACAGGGGACACCCTAGCGTATCTGGATTGTCGCTTAATGTGTGAATAGTGACGTGCTTCTGCTTTTAAAATACTGTTCCTGTCAGTGGCATAAGTTTGCACTCTGGACACTGCAGCAAAATCCGCTGAGTCTCACGCCCATCCTCCCGGAGGCCCCACCCCACCCTGCTAACTGCCTACCGAGCAGCACAAGACACTAGCTTGGCTCCCCCACCGCCTCGAAGGCTAAAATCCCTGGAGTTGAACTGGTGTGAGGCAGACAGTGAGCAGCACACTTAGCTGACTCTTTCCTGAGCCTCCTGCCTTTCCTTCTCACTTTGAGTTTTCCTGAACAGTGCAATCTGGCAGTGCGGAAAAGCACGTGCAATTGTGTGGGCTGCACACCGTGTGCTTGTTTTAGGAGATTACAGTCAGTTCTTCAGTGAACATCTTTGTGCACGAAGGTCTTTCTGAGCCCAGGGACAGTTCCTGGTGAAATGATTTCTAGACCACAGGGGCAAGACCCCAGAGCCTCCATGGGCTGATCACTCTCTGCTGCGAGGGCTGTACCTCTGCGGCTCTTCACTGGAATGATCTAGGACCTCAAGCGATTTCAGTGATCAGTAGTTCAAATCAGCAAGTGGGCCTCTGCTAAGCTCTGGCATCTGAGGTAGCACAGCCTTCACTCCCATTACCATTAGGAAGTACCTGTGGAGTCAGGGCACTGTGCTGGCTACTTGGAAGAAAAAGGAAAAGGAGATATGATCTGAACTTAACAGGATTTATAATCTGGTGGGGGAGAAGGTAAACATCAATGAATTGAAATCTCTGCTTTCTGACCCTTGGAAAAGAGAATCATTTTGGATGGCTGAGTTTTGGGGGATACTAAAGGTTTTTACCTGTAGGCATACATTTTATTTTAAAAATATTTTAAATTGTTATTCTATTACAGTTGACCCAATTTTTCCCCTTTGCCCTCCTCCACCCGTTTCATCCTCTGCTCCCACAGTCCATTCCCACACAGTTGTCCGTGTCCAGGGGTCATCCATACATGTTCTTTGTCTAGTCCCTTCCCCTTCTTTCCACCATTATCCCCTCCCCCTCCCTTCTGGTCACTTTCAGTCTGTTCCATGTTTCCATGCCTGTGGCTCTATTTTGTTCATTAGATTCCTGTTATAGGTGAGATCATATGGTATTTGTCTTTTACTGCCTGGCTTATTCCACTTAGCATATGCTCCCCAGTTGCATCCATGCTGTCAGGAAGGGTAGGAGTTCTTTCTTTCTGCTGCGTAGTATTCCACTGTGTAAATGTACCATAGGTTTTTGATCCACTCATTTACTGATGGGCACTGAGGCTGTTTCCAGCACTTGATTATTGTAAATAGGGCCACTATACACATAGGGGTGCATAAGTTCTTTTGAATTGGTGTTTCAGGGTTCTTAGGGTATATTCCCAGCAGCAGAATCTCTGGGTCAAAAGGCAGTTCCATTTTTAGTTTTTAAAGAAAATTCCATACTGTTTTCCACAGTGGCTGCACCAGTCTGCATTCCCACCAACAGTGCACTAGGGTTCCCTTTTCTCCACATCCTTGCCAGCGCTTGTTGTCTGTTGATTTGTTAATGATGGCCATTCTGACTGGTGTGAAGTAGCATCTCACTGTGGTTTTGATTTGCTTCTCTCTGATGGCTAGTGATGAGCATCTTTTCATATGTCAATGGACCCTCTGTATGTCCTCCTTGGAGAAGTGTCTGTTCAGGTCCTTTGCCCATTTTTTAATTGGATTTTTTGTCTTCCTTGTGTTGAGTCATGAGTTCTTTATATATTTTGGAGATCAAACCCTTGTCTGATGTATCATTGGCAAGTATGTTCTCCCATATAGTCAGTCACCTTTTCATTCTGATGATGGTTTCTTTAGCTGTGCAGAAGCTTTGTAGTTGATGTAGTCCTATTTGCTTATTTTTTCCTTTATTCCCCTTGCCCTAGGGGATATGTTGGCAAAAATATTGCTATGTGGGATACCTGAGGTTTTCCTCTAGGATTTTTATGGAGTCACAACCTATATTTAAGTCATTTATTCACTTTGAGGCATACGTCTTATTTTATGCATTTTATTTTATGTTAACCATTTTTGCTCAACAATATTTTCTAAATGTAGCCTATAATTGCCTTCCTTTTAAAGTAAAATTTCAATCAGAACGTTCTGTTTCTCGTAGTGATTTGGGATTGTTGTTATTAGCTTGTTTCCAACATCACCCTGTCACACACTGATGGCCCCAAGGCCTCTTGGAGTGACTCTGAACCACATGGCCCCAGACTTCTGAGTTTTAACAACTGTTCCATTGCCTTTTGCTCTCGACTGTTGCTGATTTCACTGTGCTGCTTTTTTTTTTATGTTCTTTCTCCCTCCAGTATGCCCCTGCTCATCTGCTGAGGGCTTGAAAAGTAGGAAAGTAGGTTTATAAGTGAGGTTATTGGTTCAGCCGGTGTCAGAGAGAGCAAGGTGGTCAGCAGTCCAGGGTGCTTCTCCTCCAGGTCAGCATGAAGCTTGGGTTCTTAATGTCTGGGTGATTGGCCAGGGTGTTGCCCTTGTCAGCATCATCCAAACTGCCCCTCATCTCCACCCCCATGTGCACGGTCCAGTTTGCACAAAGGGGCGTGGACAGCCTGCAGCTACCGTTGAAGAATGTGGCCCAGAAGTAAAGCGTATGCCTTCTACTCACGTCCCATTGGCTAGAACTTAGTCTTATTAGTCACAGCCACTCTGGGAGGTAGGTGCTATTATTGGACTCCTTTCATTTGCAAGTGGTGCCCATTTTACAGATGTGAAAATTAACCCCAGCGGGGTTAAGTAACTAGTACGAGGACACACAGCTAGTGAGAGGGAGAGCCCTGATTTAAACCAAGGTTCAACTGGATCCAAAGACCATGCACTTTCCACTGCACATGGGGCCTTTCTAGAGGAACAGCAATTACCCGCATGCACAAGACCTTCGATCCTTCCTCACAGGGTCAGACACCAGTTCTGTAATAAGGACGCTGAGAGAGGACAAACTGCTTCTGTCCGGGTTCTATGCTCTCCCACCAGAACTGAAACAGCAGCAGCAACAGCAACCAGTGTTTACGGAGCATCTACTTTGTACTTAATATCTCATTTAATCCTCACAACCACGCTTTAAGGTTGTTATTATTTCCCCCATTTTATTTTGTACTTATTTATTTATTTAAGATTTTATTTATTTACCTTTAGAGAGAGGAGGAGGGAGGGAGAAACAGATGGAGAGAAAGAAACATCAGTGTGTGGTTGCATCTCGCGTGCTCCCCACTGGGGACTGGCCAGCAACACAGGCATGTGCCCCGATGGGGAATCGAACCAGTGGTCCCCTGGTTCACAAGCTGGCACCCAATCCACTGAGCCACATCAGCCAGAACATATCACCCCCATTTTACATATGCAAAGAATGAAGCTCAAAGGGGACAAGTCCCGTATTTGGGTGGGACAGCTGTTATTTAAATCAAGGCAGCTAGAGTTCTTGAAAGTTTATTTGGCTTATTTTTGTTCCCACCAGACCTAATCCTAGGAGAGAATAATAGAAAGGTTAGGGCTAGCGGGGCTTTAGACCCCACCTAGCCCAGTGCTTTCTGTATGACAGACGAGAGGAAAAACAGAGAGATCGAGCGAGTTACCCGGGACTGCACAGCGTCCTAACGGCTAAGCCAGAGCTAGTCCCCAGACCCCTGGTGTCCTCTTGCCCCTGCACGATAGACATCCAAAAGTCTTCCTGCCCCACGGAAGAATAAAGACACTAATGGGCAGGCGAGTGGGAGAAGAAATGAACAGATCTTGACAGAATGTGTCAAGTGGCTCCCTTCAGGTTTTCACAGAGTGGCTGGACCAGAACAACCGGAGGGTGGGGGCTGGGGGAGGGAAGCAGGTGCACGGCAGGGAGAGACGTGGCCAGGGTGTGCCCACCTGGAGGAGGCACTGTGCAGCTGGTTATGGGGGAGCACCCCGTGAAACCATAGCTGCCCTCTGACTGCCCCCCCACTCTTGGCCTTGAATTCACACTGCTTCCTCTATCACCTTATTATATCGCTAACAACTCGAACAGTTTCTTCCCTTTATAAAACTGAGAGCCACTTTCAGCATTCTATTTAGCAGCCCTGCTCTCCCATTAGCTTTTGTGCAGCAAGTACTGGGCAATGTCGATTAAATAAATGTTCCCGGACCCCTGCCTGGGAGACAGTGAGAGTGGCTGTTACTACTGCCCCCTACTTTTCATACTGATCTGTGGGGGTTCAAACACGCTCCCACCTCCAAACTGGCCCTTTCTAGCAGAGTAACCAAGACTTTGATGAAACTGAAGACCTGCAAGGCTGGGCCCCACAGCAAACTCAAAATGACCCAGCCCAAGCCCTTGGACTTCCTGAGTGGGGCTGTGGCCAATTTGTGGATCTTTCCTTTGCTGGGGAAGAAGGAGGCGGAACTAGGTGTCAGCCACTGGGCCGGTGCAAGGAGCGGTCCCTGGGTGGGGCAGAGTGCTGCTACCTGTGTGGGATTATATGTTTTGATGTTATGTTTTGTTTTGTTTTTATGCTTAGGCCGGCAGGGTTGGGGAGCTTTGTAAGGAACCTGCCTCTGTGGCCAGCTTGGGGTGGCGTGAGAGCTGTGGGCAGGCAGAGAGAGTAGCAAGACAGCAGGCGAGGCCCAGAGCCTCAGGGACCAGCAGCCTTGCGCGTTTGTGGTGGTAATTTGCAGATGGTTCCTGGCCAAGGTCTCTGAGGCGGAGCCTGGGCCTCTGTATAGGATAGTCCCGCCCGGCTTCCCCAGCGGCCGCGGGTCGGAGCAGCCTTGGGGCGGGGCCAAGGTTGGCTCCTGCCGGGGAGGAGCTGGGATGCCGCTCCCACGATGATGCAGGGTGGAATTTGCTGACAGTCCCTTGGCAGGTGGGGCTGGCTTCACCAAGCCGGTGAGGAGGACCGCTTGGCAGTCTCCTCGCAGGTAGGCAGCGTGTAGTCTGTCACGGCATCTTGGCGGCTTGAGCATCTGGCCTGGGGTTGGGGCCGTGGCACGGAGGGCGCGGAAGTGGTGAGCACGCGGGTGGTTTGAGCCGGGAGTAATTCGGCCGGGAGAAGGGGCGCAGAATCCGGGTCCTCGCCCGGGGAGGGGGTGGGGAAGGGCTGCATGCTCTGTGCTTTCAGGGAGCTTGGAGTGGGAGGGGTGGGGGTAGGGGATACTGCGCCACACTCCTTGGCCACGCTGGCCACAGCCCAGCCTTGGACCCAGGAGAGGGTGGAATGAGCCGCTGACTAGGAAGGGCTGGGTCTTGGTCGACCGTCTTCACTGGGTGGTGGGAGAGGACGGTGGGCGGGAGGCTTGCCTGACAGCCAGCTGGGAGTTGCCTCCTTGGACCACCCCACCCAGGGATTCCCCCGGGCTGTGCCGCCCACTCTGTGGGCTGGGCTGGGAGGGGTGCGCTCTGCCTCTGCAGTCTACTCCGCTGGGGGATGAGTTATGACAGCGTCACTGTCACTGCCGTGCTGCTGCTGGCGGGGGGTCGCATTCTCTGCTGGGTGGGCTGGGCTGCTGGGCCCCAGGGACAAAGGTTGCCACCTTTCCTCCTGCGCTTTCACAGACGTGTTCTTGACTACATCCTCACCTTTGCCCAGAGAGAGAAAGTTTGGATTTGTGTGACGGAGCTGGGGAAACAGGTCCAGGGGTTTTGTGGTTTCCCCAAGATGGCATAGTAGGTCCCACAGAGCTGGCCTCCCAGGCACAGGGTGCCTGTGACCGGGTGCCCTCTGGAAGGCCAGGGGCCAACCTTGCTCTCTAGACCTCTTGTCCAGTCTAGAGTGGACTCCCCAACCCCACACCCTCTTTCCTCATCCCCGAGAATGGATGGAGTTGAAACTGCCGCATGAGCCTCCAGGGTGGCATGGGTGTGAACCCTGTAGGGATCAGAATTGTCCAGAGACAGGACAAAATTGCTCATGAAAAGCGCTCATCTGAGCAGAGGGGACCGTGGCCTCTGCCATCCTTGGCTTCGGGGAGAGCGAGCCCAGGTCCGGGCCTCAGTCTCCTGTCCCAGCCTTGACGGAAGGCACGTGGAAGTTCCCAGGCCGCCGGGGGAAGGAAAGCATGGGGGACGAGGAGATGACGCGCTCCTCTGACAGCCCACACCTGGAGAGGAGGCAGGAGAACCAGGCTGGCAAGCCCGCCCTCTCTCGGCATCACCCTCGCGGTGCCTCACCGTATCCTTGCTCTGTCCCCAACGCCTGTCCCCAGGAGAAGTGGACGACATCGGATCTGCTGCCCTTGGAGGTGGACTTTTCCTGAATTCATCTTGTCCTCCTTTTCCATGGGGCAGAGGCCTTCCTTGGGAGGAACACTGAGGCAGGGGAACGCTGATATTTTAGAGTCGGGGCCGGCCAGCCTGCCTGTGCGGTTGAGGAAACAGGCGGCGAGTCGCCCCAGGCCTCTTACCTGCACGCAGGCCCACCACACGGCAGACGGGACACGTGAGGCCCCTTCTCCCTCCTCTTCTCCCCCCACAGTCCCCAGCCCGGGAAAGGCGAGGCTCTGAGCGCCTCCTCTGGGTGGAGAGGGTGTCAGCGAATGCTCCAGCATCTTCTCTTCCTTTAATGTATGTTTTCAAGTTCCTTGGGAAAGAAGCAACTTTCAGGGGGCCAGAGTCACTTGGTCATCTTCTCACTGTGGCCCCCCCCCCACAGGGGACACACGATTTCCATGGGCTTCTCAGAGCCAAGAGCATCTAACCCTCCGGCGGGGGGCCAGCAGCTCTGAGCAGGGCCAGGAGGGGCCCGTGACAGAAGGACTCCAGTTACCTCTGACAGCATCGCAGGAAGGGAGCTTCTGCCAGCCCGTTATTCTGGGTGGAGGGGAGTGGCTGTGTGTCTGCACAGGAGTCGCTGCTTTCAGACACACCCTCTGAGATCAGAGGCCCTGAAGCTGGCTCCTGGTGACCACGGCATGCCCCAGCTGCATGACGGCCCCCATTAATCACTGCGGTGACCTGTGGGAGGGGGCGGCTTCCCAGGAAAGTAGATCAGACCCGGCTGCCCGTGGGGTGACAGTACAATGCCAGAGAGGGGAGAGGACCCGCCACGGGTCAGGCGCCTCTGCTGGGGTGCCACCAGCTCTTCTCCAGGAGGAAGGCCACTGCCGCACAGGCCCGGGAAAGGGGCGGCGTGTCCCTCCCGGCCAGCAGAGGCAGAGGCAGGCCTTGGAGAGGCTCCCGGGTTGTGGGAAGAGAACCTCCTGCAGAACATCGCACCTAGTGCTGGACCAGAGTCCCTGTAGGCTGGCAGTCGGCCCTCAGTTTTTCTACCTGACAGCTGGGCATGCAAACACCTTCCCCAGATGGATGGGAGGGCTTTGGAAACATGTCAGGTGTTTATTATAGACGGGAAGTGTTATTCCTGGACTCTGGTCTCAGCTGAAGCCATCTGTCCCTGGCCTCCACAGGGGACTCGTGGCTGTTCCCTCGACCCCCACGGCCTGTCCAGGGCGCCCTTCTAGGCTTGGAGGGCAGGCTGACCCTGCCCCACCCACTTCTGGTTGTATTTTGGCCCCGAAGACTTCTTTTCCCTCCCCCTCGCTGCCTGTGATATTTCATAGGATTTCCATAAAACACCGGTGCCTGGCAGCACAGCGGGCCTTCCTACAGGCCTGCATCCTCCCCACGGCTTCCTGAGCCCCATGGACTCTCTTCTGTGGTTCTTCCTGAAAAGCAGCAGGTGAAAGAGTCACAGAGATAATGGGCATAAAGTGCTGGGAGCTCTTTGCACAGATTGTTCAGGGTGGGGGAGTCCACGGGGCGTTCAGGGCTATGGGCAGGCTCGCCCTGGGAAAGGCTGTAGCCAAAGTGCTTAGGGGAAGTGCTCGACTCCAAGTGAGATCAGCAGCTTTCAGCGTGGTGTTTTGCCTGCGGCGGGCCGGGCAGCCATACCTCTTGCCTGTTCTGGGGGAGCGGTGGTTTTTGCAGCGTGTACATCAGCGTGCGTGGTGTCAGCCAGACTCCTGTTCTTGCTCACGAGTTAGCTGGTGCAACGCATGCTGCAAAGTAGGGTCACAAAGGGAACACGGAGTTGAGAACATGAGCAGCAATGAGGCATGACGGGTCCTTGTTCTAGGTCTGTGTGCGTGGCTCTGGGCCACCCGAGGGGGGCGCATTAGAAGAGCACCTGTGTCCAGAACTCCGTGTCCCGTGTTTGTAGGGCAGGGTAGGTGCCTGAGCTGCCATGTGACTTCCCAGCACCCCTGGGGCTGGTTCCAAAACATGCAGAGCCAGGGTGGGGGGGGGGGTGCCATCGTGTGACCTCCTGCCTCTTCCTGGTGGTTAGTAATGTTTCAAAAGGGAACGAAGCCTGGACCCACTTATCAAACCAGGATCCAAGTGTCCTGGGCTCCCACCCTCTGCTTTTCCCACCCTTCCATGCTGATGTTTTGCACAAGCACCCTCAAGATGAGGTCGAAAGTCTGGGCTGGGGGTGGCTGAAATACAGCAGCACCCTGTGCCCCCAGAGCCATGTTCATGCCAAGTCAGGGCCTCGGCGTCCTCAGGGGATCGGAGGCAGAGGGGCCAGGCCAGCTCCCAGTGGGAAGCCACGCCTCCCCTCCCCATTGCTGAGTGGTCTCACCAAGGAAGGTGGCCCTGGGGACAGGAGACTTCTCCCTAGGCCGGCTGAGTCTTCTCATAGTTGTGTCCAATCAGAGAGACACTGGCCTCAGGCTGTGGGGTCTTGGCAAAGAGCAAGGCATCCTGAGGCCTTTGGAGACAGACGCCCAGGCAGCCTGGGGTATGGCTGTGTGGGGATTTTGATGAGGTGGCTTCATCACCTGTGTGTCTTACGTGGCAGTGATTTGGCCATAGGCCGTAAAGTATAGGCCACTGGACACCTGCCCTGGGCTCCGTGGAGAAACCAAGTGTGCTTTTGGGGTGGTCCCGGGAGCAGGGAGGACAAGACACACAGACAAACTGCCTGGGAGGCACTGAGGAGCTGGGTTCCCACCTGCTTCGTCACCTGCTCACTTCTCTTCCATGAGCCTGGTGTTCACAGCACGGTGCTGTAATCCCCAGCACAGGGCCAGCCTGACGGACGGGGCACGGTGCGGGGGAGCAGGAAGGCGCCCAGCAGGAGCCTGGTGCCTGGGAGCCCTGCTCCTTCTGTTCGCTCGCCTCTGTACCTGCTCAGTGCCGGCTGCGCAGGGGTCTCTGGGCTGTGTATGCTGACCCGCCATGTGGGTTGCTCCAGGCACCGTTTGAACTCAGCTGTTCCTTTCCAAAGAACTTCAGTCAGATCCCTGAAGACCTGGCAGAGGGACATGTCTTCTCAGAACCGGAGCGTGTTTGGGGTGGGGGTGTTGGCAAGGACTGGGGTACAGCACACAAGTGTGGCTGGATTGGGATCCCCCATGGGCTGGGACCTCATGTGCCCAGGCCTGTGAACCAGGCCAGGCTTTGGGGAGACCCCCTCGAGCACCAGAAGAACTACAGCCTGAACAGTGTCATCGGCCTGAGTCCTGGGCCCACTCAGCCACCTCACGATCCTTGTTGCTACTTTTTAACCCTCTGCACGGCCCAGGGGAGGACGGAGCGGGTACAAGTAGCCCACTGGATAGACAAGAACGCTGAGGCTCAGAGAGGAAGTACCAGCCACAAGCACACACCTGCACAAAAGTGGCAGAACCCACGCGGGCCCCGGCAGTCCGGCCCCAGTGGCGAGTTCCTCCCGCCGGAGCCCAGCCGACACATCCTCAGCTCACCTGCTCTTGCGTTGCTGGTGGTTTTGCTGAAGTTGCTTAAGACCAAAGGACCTGGAAGTGAAGGTCGTGCATTTCTCCCCTTCCCCTCCACTCTGGGCAGGGTGCCCAGAGCTGGTTCTGTTGAAGGACAGCGGGGAAGGGAAAGACAGGGTTCGTGCCACCCCACCCCACACCCCTGGACACACTCGCCTCCCGGGAAGGCGAGTGTAGGGGGG